TTGCCCTTATCCAAGATGGCTGCCACAACTTGTATTCCCACAATGCAAGTCATCTGTATTAGGCCCTTTAAGGCACAAACTGCACATGCGTGGGCCCTTTCCGACTGTGTGTTGTTTAGAGACCAGGGAGCATTGGCGGATCCAGGGGGGGGGCAACGGGGCAATGTGCCTGCGGACCGGAGGGGAGATCAGAGCTCTCCCTCCCCGGTCCGCAGGCACTGTGCTGACAGCCGGCGGGGGAGGGAGGGAGTGAGAGAGAGGACCCGGAGCTCAGTCTGCAGCTCCTCCGGGTCCTCCTCTCGCGGGATTTAAAGCGTTGCCGTGGTTACCACGGCAACGCTCCAAATCTCGCGAGAGTGAACTCTAGCCCGGGAGCGTGGGCTAGAGTTCACTCTGACCACCTGACCACCAGGGAATCACCACTGGGACCACCAGGGACGGAGAAATGTCCCCCCTCCTGCTCAATAAAGGTAAGAAGGGAGGGGGGACATATTTATTTTATTAAATTTTTAATTTTTTTTTATTAATTATTATTAAAAAGCCTCCCCCCCCCCCATTACACACACTGCCCCATTACAGGGGGGCAGTGTGTGTGTATGGGGATAGTGTTTGTGGGGCAGTATGTGTAATGGGGGGGGGAGGAGGTTTTTTTATAATACATTTTTAAAATAAATATTCTGCCCCACAAACACTCTCCCCATACACACACTGCCCCACAAACACTGTCCCCATACACACACTGCCCCACAAACACTGTCCCCATACACACACACTGCCCCACAAACACTGTCCCCATACACACACTGCCCCAAAAACACATACAGTGCCCCCATACATACACTGCTCCCTAACACACACACTACAACCCTGACATACACTGCCGCACTCACACACTTTTACCCTTAACACACACCACTGCTCCTATACCCTATATCCCAGCAGATCCCAGGTAAGTTGTTAAACTGTTCTTAAACGGTATGACTACTTACTCTGGGGTGGAATCCTGGCAGTACTGACACCATAACTACTACACTGAGCTGTAGTGGTTATTGTGCCTGGATTATTTATTTAAATAATCTACAAGTGCCCCTCCCGAGATCAGGCTCTGGATCCGCCACTGCCAGGGAGAGAGCTCTCTCTGAAGCATACATGGTCCCTGAACAGCCAGTGAACTGGGAAAAATCACTGGGAACGAGGGGAAGCAAAAATATAATGTAAAAGTGACTGAAAGGTAGGAAAAAGGCCTCATAGTATAAAAGGGCCTAATTTCAAATGCACTGCAGTGCTACATGCAAGTTTCTAAATACAACCCAGCTTAAATGCATCATTTAAATGCATCACAGTATAAAAGCACAACTGCATAATGTACCACAATGTAAAGATATTCTAGCATAAAGTAAAGCTGTATAATGCACTAGTTTAAAGACATCAAAGCTTAAATGCATCAGTCTAAATTCCTCATCGATTAAATGCATCACAGCATAAGAGCACAACTGCATACTGTACCACAGTATAAAGGTACCCTAAAATCACAAAAAACAACAACAAATAAAGTAATGAAGTAATGAAGAAAAAACACACATGTCCGTAAGTAAAGGGAGCAAATTGCTCACATCCTAAGGGCTGTAGGACAGGAAAAAGACTGAGGACCTTAGGAATGGAGCCTCTTTTTAAAGCCTTGGTGTTTTTCCAGTCCTATCGGCTGTAAGGGGCAGAGATAACCCATGTGTATATGCTGCCATGATATGAGAGAGAGACTCTTGAGAAAGTCGGTGAGGACGAAACGTGTTGAGAAGCAATAGTAAGAGCTGTTCCCCAAAAGGATTTTTACAGTTTTTATCTTAGAGGAACTTTTATGGACTCTACAGTACTAACTGGACATACAAGAAAGTGAGACTGTTGGTGTCAAGAGGTACCACAGGCTACACCAGGGAACTTAGCCCATTTAGTGGCTTGTAAGCTCTTTTTCACAATTTAGTATTTCTAATTGTGATATGTCTTTTGTGACTGTGATTTCAACTATTTTATAAGACTATTTGTTGTTAATAAATTACTATACTATGATTATATTCTTTTCCTTTTATATATGGATTCATCATCTGAGTGTAATTATCACACCATTGTGATTGTGGTGCCCTATTTTTGTATATTCTGTGTGATTATACTTGAACACTTTTGTATTGGGGGATTTGGGGAGTGATCCTATATAGAGGCTTGCCTGCATGTTTGTTGCTCTACTTTCCTTCTACCTGTTCAGTTTAACTTTATTGCTCCTAAAAACTCATTTGTGTAAAGTAATGTCTCACAAGTACCCCCAACCAACCATGTTGTTTTGGAAAGAGACCGGGTTAAATATCTGTTGGGGGATCACTAATATTTTTATTTTGCAGCACATCTCCATAGCCTGCTATTTTGACCATGCGATGTCTCTGTGAGAGCGATCACATAGCCTCAAGGGCCTGATTTGCCAGGGGAGGATGTCCTCCCAAAGCAGATCGTGGGTAGAGGTAAGTAACATGTAGCTCCTGGGCATGAAAGCCGTTCCATGCCACTGCAACAGCTTTAAAGTCCATTATAATGGGGATGACATGGAATGCCGTAACGAGTTAAGCTGACTTTGTTAGTTTAAAAAAAAGACTGGCTCCTAACTTTTTTAGCTGGCTCCTAGATTCAAAAACAAATTTGTCAAGTGAAATATACCAGGAATAGTGGAGACAAATAATAGGATAAAAGGAACACTGTAGGGTCAGGAACACAAACATATATTCCTGACCCTATAGTGTTAAAACCACTATATAGCCCCCTTTGCCTCCCTAAAGATAGTAAAATCTTACTTGTATTCAAGTCTGCTGCTGCTTCTGCCTGTGAACGTCATCTGACATCAGAAGTGGTGGCCTGATCCAATCACAATGCTTCCCCATAGGATTGTCTGAGACAGACAAGGAAGCAGATCGGGGCAGAGCCATCACAATTCAAACACAGCCCTGGCCAGTCAGCATCTCCTCATAGAGATGAATTGAATCAATGAATCTCTATGAGGAAAGTTCAGTCTCTGCATGCAGAGATAGGAGATACTGAATGTTTGGATGCATTTTAGGCAGCCATGACCCAGGAAGGATCTCTAACAGCTATCTGAGGAGTGGCCAGTGAAGTTATCACTAGGCTGTAATGTAAACACTACATTTTCTCTGAAAAGACAGTGTTTACAGCAAAATGCCTGAAGGTAATGATTCTACTCACCAGAACAAATTCAACTAGAAAAGCTACAATTTCTGGGGAAATTGTGTGAAGCGTTCTTGCCTCCACCAGTAGTCTACAACTGGAGTGGGCGGAGTAACTGTTATCATTTATATAGCACATTTAATTGCAACATTGTTGCACAGTTACATTAAACCATACATTTATAAAAACATTAGCAGGTGTTCAAACGGCCCTGTCTAGGACCTGTGCAGCCTGGCACAGGTCAGAGTATTTTGGCGGTTGCCATCTTCAAACGGTCGTATTTTAAAAACTATAAATCCTACAGCGAAGAGCTTTATATTGTGAGAATCACAAGACCCAGACCTACATTTTGATGCATAGTATGTCTCCTAAGTATTAAAAATGAAGGCACAGTCGGTTTAGAAATTGCACTTCAAATTTGAGCTTTGTAGAGTGATGTTTCAATGAATGTCAATGGACGGCGTTAGTTGCAAACAAGTGATTATATTGTGAAAACTATCAGGACTATGGCTTAGCTGTTGACATGTTTAGTGGCAGCAGGGATAGCTGAACGTTTTGATATAAGATTTGTGTAGGTGGGCCTGAAAATAAGGGAGTGGTGACAGTTTAGAAATCATGTCCTGATTTTTCAGCTTTTGCCAGCTCCCACTCTAGCTTTGCCATTCATTCCTAAGTGACAAATTTCGCCACAAGAACGACGATATTCCGTGAACCATTTGGCAAAACATTCCACAAAGTAATAGCAATCCGATCGGGAACAATCTGCACGTTTTGGTAAATTTTTGTCTATGTAGTGTAAAAACTGTGGGAGGAGTTAGGGTGGCAAATTTGGCTATAATAAGAATAAGCATAATATATATGTGAGATAGCAATAAGTGGTCTTGCTATGCAAGTACACTTAATAAACTGTAATTGTTCTGGTAACTATAGTGTGTCCCTTTAAGTATTTATTGTAATATACATTAACTTACCACCGGAACATAAGGGATAATAATTTCAAATGAAAATACGCTTTATGATGAAATTTTTGCCGGAGTGTAGTTTATGTGCCTCTCCCTTTACTCTTTTTGTTCTGTTTGTATACGTAACTGTTTGTACACTATTTATCGCTGGTGAAGTGTTTTTACACCTTGACACTATGTAGTATATTTCATAAAGTAAATGCTATCAATGTTATAATGGATGTATATTCCCCCTCCCCCTCCCCCCCGTTTATTTTTGTTAGTTTGATTTATATGTATTCTTATTCTTTATTCCGTATATTTCATTGTTTTACAATGGTTGTTAAAAATGAAAACCTTTCAATAAAAAAATATTTGACAAGTATTCATTGTTATTCGATTTTTTCTTTTTTATGTGATAACATGCCTCATGGATTGTGTAGGAGTTTTATCATGCAGACTTGAATAAACGTGTTTCCTAGCCATTGGTTCTTAAACGCTGGGGTGGGGCAAAAAAAATTAGTCCCCAATTGTTGGAGCATGCACATTATATTCATTATACATCAGACAACTGCCCACAATAACTGTATTACTACGGAACTCCTGGAGCGATATCTAAATGTTTAAATCAAGTGTTTAATATATGCTAAATTGTACCTTTTAAAACTTTAGCTACTTATTTAAGATTACTAATCAATCAACAGTTGTATGGATACACAGATCTAGTTCAGATTTAGATTTATTTTAATTTGGACTTATACATTAGTTTCAAGGGGTATAAATATCTGTATTACTAGCCCAGATTTTCTATATTATTCTAAATACCGAGGTATATTGCGCAATGAGAAGTACGGTCAGAAATTTGAAGGGGGAAAACTCCATATTTTCCAGGCTGTCCAATTCCGCTCAAAAATGAAAATTATATTTTCAGGTTTCTCTAGGCCCTACCATTGATAAGAGTGTAATTATGATACAACTCTTCCAACTCAACAGCCACCCTATGACTGAAAGACATTATTCGCAGGCACCATCCAGATGTACATAATTGACTGGTAATGCACATTTGTTTCTCTTATACAGACTGTAAACAAAAATTTAAAGGACCACTATAGGCACCCAGACCACTTCAGCTTAATTAAGTGGTGTGTGTGCCTGGTCCAGCTAGGGTTAACCCCCCCTTTTTTTTTTTTTTTATAAACCTAGCAGTTTCAGAGAAAGTTTCAGAGAAAGTTTCAGAGAAACTGCTATGTTTATAAATAGGTTAATCCAGCCTCTAAGGCCTCTAGTGGCTGTCTCATTGACAGCCACTAGAGGCGTTTGCGTGCTTCTCACTGAAAATCACAGTGAGAAGACGCAAGCGTCCATAGGAAAGCATTATGAATGCTTTCCTATGAGACTGGCTGAATGTGCGCGAAGCTCCTGCCGTGCATGCGCATTCAGCCGAAGAGGCGGAGAGCTCCCAGCCCAGCACTGGAGAAAGAGGTAAGTTTAACCCCTTCCTCTCCCCAGAGCCCGGCGGGAGGGGGTCCCTGAGGGTGGGGCTCCCTCAGGGCACTATAGTACCATGAAAACGAGTGTTTTCCTGGCACTATAGTGGTCCTTTAAGTTTCTTGCCTCTTTACTAAATGTCAGTGCTGTTGGGTAGAAGACAAATCATTTACTATGGGTAAGATATCAGTGAATACAAGCTTAATTTCTAATGTTGATTACTTATGTCACATTAAATACAATAAGCATTATATAAAACACTAGTATTACACCTCTGCAATCAAGATTTCATAAAAAGAGACACATACACATCCGTTTAGGAAATATATTATCCATAACATTTTGTTATAAACTTAAATTTACCAACAGAACAAATGTTTACTTTATGACAGGATTCACAGAAAAAATAAAAAGGACATTCACAATCATTACCACACATCTGGCAGAAATACGTGAAATGGAACTCTTAAAAAGCAGGTTTTTAAAAGTTGATGGTTTTCCAATGGCCAGAAGACACGTTCTGTTCTTTTCTTCAGCAGAGGCGATGGTAGAATATTATGCTGACAGTCTTTAAAACTAAGTTACAGTCCATCAAAATTTAAACTATCGGGTAGAATTAAAATCAAATTCTTACATTCAATTAGTGGATCTCATTAAAAAAGTTAATTTTAATTTCTTTCTTCTTTTCAAATCAGCCCTGCCAAAAGGAAGATAATGTTATAAAGCCATGTTTCGTGTTTTTAATACCATATTCATATAGAGTCAACATTTTATGCAGCAACAATGAAAAACAATAGAGCAGCTCTGGATCCCTCACAACATACTAGTATAATTAAGAGGATGTTCATGCAAAAACCATGACAGATCAGTTTTCAATAAACAATAAAACAATAAAATGTCCTTTTTGTTGCATCTCTTTCTCCACTGGAGCACCTATAAGTCATCTTTGATTGCAAGCACCACTGCTGTTTTCGAAAGCTCGGTGCTTCTGCGTGACAACAGGATTAAACAAAAAATGCACCAAGATCTTCAAAATTAAGAAGCAGTATTTCAAACTAAAGACCACTTACATGTGGGTGCCCATAATGGAACATTTATAAGTCAGTAGATGCACAAAAATAAATCACAATTTACTAAAATGTCTGTATTACAAAATTATATAGAAATATACACTCATATTTAACAATTTAAAACAAAAAAAAATGTCAGTTTACAAATGTATATAAGAGGTTACATCCCACAAAACTTGCACACAAACTAAAAAATAAAACTTAAAAGTGAAAGCACAGGTTCATGAGAACTAAAACTATATTCTAGCTTAGCATTTCCCTTCATTTTATTGCACAGCAGTGAAATCATAAGTTGCTTTAACCCCTTAAAGACACATGACATGTGTGACATGTCATGATTCCCTTTTATTCCAGAAGTTTGGTCCTTAAGGGGTTAATTGCTGGGATTTAAAAAAAAAAATAAATAAATAAAATCAATCTGTAAATGTAGATAGCTGTTAAATAATTGAAAAACAGTCCAACATAATATACCTATTCATCTTTGTGTCTATCTTCCAATACTTCTTCTTCATCCTCTAGTATGCCATCGCCTTGGTATTTATCATGAGTCCATTTTGGGCTGCTCCCAGATTTTTTAAATGTAAAGCGACCCCTGTCACGTTGAAAGTTGCCACGGCCTCTTGCTCTTTTTGCCCAGTAATCAACTCCATCATCTCTGTCATCATGCTAAAACAACACAGCAAAATCCAGATAACTCCACTTCTACAAACCCATAGCTACAATGTGAGGAAAATCCTTTAACCACATGGGAAAATACAAATAAGGTCACAAAAAGAAGAAAAATGTCACTGAATGAGTGCTAGTCTGGGTTTTCACCATAATACAGGTTTGTAGCTGTAATTGTAGCATCAAAAAGAATTTCATAAAAATGTTCAAAGCAAATTTTTATACACAATACTTTGAAATAAAATGTACCCCACGAGATTGACTTACCACAAGGGTTTATTCCAAGCACTCCCAATGAAAACAGTAGCAGGACCAGTATTGGTCAAGAAAACTCAGCCCCTTACTGGTCCCAGCAGAAACTGGGAACAAACAGAGCTGAGCAGCTTTCATTTTAGAATGCATTGTCTCCATAATCAAATGATTAAAGTTGTGGGGTGTCAACTTAAGCCGTGAGAGTTTGAATAACCTATATTGTCACCATTAATAAGGCTTGGCTTGCAAATAAACAGGTAATATTTTATTTCCAAAGTACTACCCTTTTATAACTGCATTTCAAGTACCCTTTTTTGTCTATTGACATTTAACATACCCGTTTTACTCATGTGCCCATTTCTGAAGTACAGGTTTCCTTGTTAATGTGCTGTCTTATGGACGTGAGACATCTCATCTTGCCCAGCTTCTAGACATTTTACTTAAACACAAATCTTAAAGCAGCACTGCCACATGAGTTTTTGCTATCATAGAATCTTTACAAAAAAAAAAAAAAAAATCTCATACACTTTTTGTAAAACTTTCACTGAAATAATAAAAAAAAAAATTCATATACATAAGACAAACTAGTAACATCTTTATGGTATGCATCCAATGGCAAAAAGACGAGTTTTAGTGAGTCTTTCGTACCTTGCAATTTCATATAAGCTACCACTTGCCTCTTACGGTCTTTGAGAAAAGGGAATTTAAAAAAAAAAAAACCTTCAACCTTTTCACTACCGAAAACTTTTTTATTGACAAACTATTAGAATAAGATTTATTTGAAGCAAGGGATGCATAGCTAACAAACATACAACTATTTTAAGTATAGACTGCTTTGCAAACGTAAAATTTTTTACATATGTAAATTTACACATTTTCACTTATTCGTTCATCCTCTATAAAAATATTTAAAATCTTAAAAGCTTCAGACAATATACAGTGTCCTTTGTCTTGCAATATTTCAAAGAGTCTGAAATATTAGTATAAAAGCAAAAATGCAATTATTACACATATTAAAATTATATATATTAATTTAAGTAATAAAATAAATTAAAAAATGGTCAAACACCTTGCTGATAGGTTAGGACACTGGAGGCATTACTAGCAGTTTAACTTACTTAAAATCACTATAAAATGGGGGATACCACAGTACCAGTTTAAAAAAAAAAAAAAAAAAATTCAAACAATTTTAATTTTGTGCAGGTAGTTCAAAAACCACATTGGCTCCTAAGTAGTGTTATATACAACAGACAAAAAAAACAAACAAACAAACAAAAAAAAAAAACAATCAGAACAAGTGCAACAAGAATTTCTGATGCACCACCACATTGCTGCAAGTTTAATGAAGGACACAGAAAAAACATTTAGTCAATGTGTAATGCCCTTAAGCACACAATCGCACCTATAGACAGATCGAAATAGTTCTCCCACCATGTACATCATGCAAAGTGATCCCAGCAAACATCAAAAATAGAGGCTTGGAACACCCAAGCCTGCCAAAATCCCAGTCAGAATTTATTCAGATTGCAGCGATCGTACCACACAAGTGGTGCGATCTGAATAGATTATGACCAGGATTGGTTTTTGTCTGTAAAAGCAACAGACTAAACAGACATTTGAGCGTAACATCCACATACAGAAAATACAGTTAAATCCTCTATTTCTAAAATAAAAGGTACTATGCTAAACTGCTATAGCAATTTTTTTTTATCAATCTCTGGACTGCAAATGTATTGCTGACATTGAAATGGTAGAGTCAACTCACTCCTCCCACTCCATGACTTAAGAATGTTATAATCCAGTGAAACGTCTTGTACTATTTAAAAAAGCAGGAGGTAAGCTTATATTTCAAGCAACTTTAGATTCACTATATCAGTGACTCGTGGCTCATGGCAGAGAAATGTTTTCATCTATAGGCTGGCAATCAGAGTATAAATGAGGGTGAGTGAGGTTTTATGAAGTAATTTCACGCCGCAAAATACATGAAAATAAAAATGTTTATACTTATTATGGTATTGAAGGGGTTGATTGTAATTTAATAAACATATTCCATGTTTGTGAGCAATTGGATCATGCATAGAAACCTCTTCAACACCCACCAGAAAATATTTCTTGCTCTTAGGAGTATATTCTGGATCCCACTCCTCTTCTTTAGGACGCTTTTGAAAAGCTGTGGACATATTCACAGGACCAGTACTTGTTCCAGCAAACACTCCTCGTCCACGGGCTCTGCCTCTAATTCGAAACTGCTAAACAATGTTTTAGTTGGTGGAGGAATCACTTTGAACACGAAAAGAAATATTATCTGGTCTATTCTCTCCGATTATTAATCCGGTCATGTTTAAGAAAGCAATTCATATATCAAAATGCAATTCAATATATCAAAAACAATTTCTTTTTAATGATACACAATCCCACTAAAAATGTTTTTAAAAAAAAAGGTATATAAGGCATAATGCACACAGATTTTACTATTTGTAATCATTAAAATGATGCTAGGTTGATGTCAGCTGGTGCAATATTCCTTGACAATATCCTGATCAAGGACATACTGACAGCTCAAGACAAATTCTCAAATCAAAAGTATGGATTTTAGATGTAAGGGAAAACAAAAGGAGTATTAGGAATTTTCTACCTAGAGTGAAAATAATTTCTATGCGTCTTGGTACCATACTATATAAAACATCTCATGGCTGTGAATCATTTCTAGATAAGCTACGTGAAAAGAGAATTTTATTGAATCTAACTAAAGCAAATTAATACAGGTAAAACTGAACAGGATCAGGGCCAGGATTACAAACTTGGAAACGGGCAGTAACTATGTTCAGAAAATCCTAATAAACTGTTTTTTAAATGCGTTGGTAGGGGCATCAGGGAACAATATAAATTACTCTCCCATAGTTCCTCTTCCATACTGTTTTCATTTGAATTGCTTGGACTACCACCATCAGTTTTGCCACAAAACCATTCAATAATGGTTGTACTTTAAAATACATATCCTACATGCCACAGTATTTTGCATACATATTGAACTGGATCACAAGAAGTTCCTCATTGCTGCCCACAGTGAGAAACGGTCATTTTACCACGTAATTAAAAAAAAAGAAAGAGCCTAACTAAACCACTTAACAGAAAAGAAGGTGTCAAAGAGAGAATGTGACACAATGACCAAATTAGCATTTTCAAGCGGCTTTGCCGAGATATGCACTTGGCCAAAATGGCATGTACCTAAAATACTAAAATAGATTACTAAAATTGTTACTTCCACTAGACAACCAAAAGGGAATTAAAACAGTGTCCTGTAGTGTGCAAGCAAAAAAAATAATACAACTTAAGACCTCTCATTTAATTTATTTAGCATTCCAACATAATTAAATTTAAAAACTGAAGATGTATCTGATCTGCTAGTGCCTGAGCTTACTACCGATCTTTGATTTGTTTAGGAGAAAAGAGAAAATACACTGTTTCATTTATCATCATTCATTTACTTATTTATTAGGTTAACTCAGAAAGTTTGATGTCCAACTTTTTTTTAAGCAATGTCATATGTTTTACTTCATACTTGCAAAACAGAGAATATATAAAGTGAAAATGTATCCCATTTTCAAATGATGCTTTGTCAAAAGTGCTTGAAACCTAAACCAGAGGCCAACATTTATTTTGCACACTGAAGCTTAAAGGGAGCATAATCACCAAAATAATATAGCTCATGCCCCTGAAGTCTCATTTTTCAATTCTCTGCCATTTAGGAGTTAATCCATTTTGTTGATGCAGCTATAGGCACACTTCTCTGCATGTGACTTACACAGCCTTCATAAATACTTCCCGATAGGAATCATCTAATGAATACACTTCCTGTAGTGTAAATTCTGTTTAATTTAGTTTTTTTTTTTTTTATCTCCTGCTCTGTTAATAGCTTGGTAGAACCCACAGATGCCTCCTGTAGGTTTTTAAAATTCAATTTACAGAGCAGAAGATAAAAACTTTTAAAATAAGTTACATCTGATTGAAAAAAAAAACCATTTAGTTTTAAGGCAGGTTGTGTGGGTCACAGCCAAGGGAGGTGTGGCTAGGGATGAATAAACAAAACAAAACTGATTTAACTTCTAACTGGCAGAGAATCTAGCAGTGACACTGCAGGAATATGACCTATGCACCAAAATGGCTTTATTAAGCTAAAGTTGTTTTGGTGACTATAATGTCCCTTTAAGACAATAATGGACTGTCACAGATAACCTGGAATATATAACTCTAAGAAGTGTAGTACTGTACAAAGGGAACAAAAAAAATGAATAAAAATATAAGAGCATGAACAATAATTTGATTTGGAAACTCAGGCCTAAATCAAACAGTACTCTTCAGTTTAAATAACTCTCAGTAGGTCTGTGCCTACAGCATACCAAATAAAGTTAGTTTGGTTCCGCCCCTGTAATTCTTTGCCCAACAGTCTAATGTGAAAGTTCACAAGTGAAAGAGATTTACTAGGGGAATGTTGCCATGAAAGGGTTTGGAAACAGAACTTGGGAGGTTAAAGGTACTCTGATACAAATTAACTACATTTGACAATGTTTTGCCTCTTTAGTATGCTCTATTTTTGCACACCACAAAACTGCCTCCTTAGCTTTTACTCAGGAAAAAAAAAAAAAAGTGTAAAAAAAAAACAAAAAACTTCCGTATCAATTATATGTACACAGTTCAGCCACTAACAGCACTAAATTTCCTGAACTAAAAGGTAATCTGCATAAAGTGAGGACACCCTGGGAGACATATAGAAATAATTTCACTACCAGCTTCTATTTTTTCTGATTGTCTGCAGTCAGGTTGTGAATTAAAAGCAGCTCATTCAGTGCAGTTAGGTTTTAAGCTGTGTTCATACAATGATCAACAAGTCTTTTTGCTATGGTAGGACAATGGTCAAGTAGAAAGCCTTATAATGGTGCAGCATTCTGCAAAATATTTGAGCAAAAACATTTAAGCGTGGAAAAAAAAAATATACAGATTATATATGAGACCAATACCTATCGAATGCATGAATTGGTGTCAAAAAACATCTGTAGTGATGGGTAATACTTGAGAACAAAATTAGTAACGGAAAGCTGGGGCCAGAGTGGGTGATTGAGTGTTGAGGAGGCAAAAAGCCTTAGAAAAATGGTTAGGAGGGAATCTAATATATAGATCAACTGAAATAATTTGTATGGGGTGAAGCAACATTGATACTATAACAGCAAAGAAAACTATTGGAATGAAAGGGTTGATGGGGAAATGTGATACACACAGAGGAAGCAACAAATGAAGACTGCTCTTGACCACAGAGTGAACAATCAAATCAACAAAATAACTGCCACAAGATTAACAATGAGGACAAAAAGGGCATGGGGTGGTAGAGGGAAAAATAGCAAGCAGGAGATGATCTAGACTAGAAGGACATCTAAACACTTAGAGGTTATTGTCACAGGTAAGCCAACAAACATAACAAGGGAGGTCAAACAAGTGGCACAGATCTCTTATTATGTACCATCAAAGTACAATGACAAGACAATGACGTAGACTTATGAAAATGTTGCTAAGTAGGGCAAAGTTCTAAAAGTAGACCTACAACAATAAAAGCTAGTGAAAAATGCATTCCCTTGGTTTCTATGGTGACTGCTTTTACAACTTTGTAAGTAACAGTAGCAGACATCTCTTCAATGTCTCATTACTAAATAGAAATGCGAAATATGTATGCCCCATTTACAAGTAACATTTAAACCCCCTCCTCGGTAAAGATAAAAAAAACCACCACTTGGTTTATGGTAACAAAGCCAGAACTATGACTACTCCAATTTCTCAAATATACTTTTACACTTGGCACCAATCCTTAATATTAACTTACAAATGTCCCTCTGGATCTATTCACTCCAGCAAATCCAGAAAACTCTTTAGGCTCCTGTGGACCTTTAAACTCTTCATTTCTATCCTTCTTATTATCCCTTTCTTCATGTGAACTGGCAGAATCAGGAGAAGACGGTGGCTCAAGCTCCTTTCTACGCTTACTGCAATAGAAAAGAAAACACACATACAAACAAAACTCTTAAAACAAAAAATAAAGCCTCCCACAGAAAGAAGAAATGTACAATAAAAGTGTCTCTCCAGGGCAATGAATTGTTCACTAAATAGAGTGCAAATGTATCAACTTTAATCAGTTTTGTTAGAAAACAATACAATTGGATGTCACCAATCTAAACTCTAAATTTAACAGTACATGTTACTTAAAGGACAACAGTCACCTCAACACTATTTAACACAATGATCATTTCATGATGTTTTGAAAGGAAATGTTAAATTAAGTAGATGCAAAAAATAAAATAAAAAACACGCAACAGGATCCTTCAGCTATATACATGCACCTTGGGTCAGACAGAGTCTGAAAACCTCCATAAATTAGTCTCTGTGGTCTTCCCTGCTTCACTCCCAGGACAGTAAAAGGGATATCATCAGATCTATTGTCAAAATCAAACCCTGTCTGACCCAAGATGCATGTATATGCCTGAAGGAAAAGGCCTTATATTAACGTTAGGGTTTTCATTATTTTTAACATATACTTAATTTAACAAATAATCAATTTCCTTTCAAAACTTGATGAAAGAAACATATTAAAAGATAATGTTGAGGTGACAGTTCTCCTTTAAATGAACCATTCAGCTGGTTATTTTATAAGGATTTGTGTGATTCTTTCTCCCCATTTAGTTACTCCTTTCCATTGAAGGTAGTGGACCCGTTCCTTCAGTCTTAGGAGTGGAAAATACGTAATTCAGGGTTTGCCAACATTACTCAAAACTTACCTCTGATTTAACTTTTGAAAAGTTTACATTTAAATGAATTGAAACACAGAAGCAGAATGCAGTGCGTATAAACACAGTAAAAAAAGACTGCCATCCAAAAATATGAAGTCACGTATACACATATTGAGCTGATACAATTGCCAGAAAACATACAGAGTTAAAGATATACTTGTTTGATTATTATATATGCCACCTTCAAGATGGCAGTAAGTGCAGCCACCAAATGATGTGCAGGGTATCAGACAATACACACAATGTGTGCAAAAAAATATAAAGAAAATATATATATATTATACACACACACACACACACACACACATATAACCCAGGGTTCCGCACTTAATGTTTCTCCTCTTAACTGCTCCTGCTGCAATATCTCCGACCTAAAAGTTATAGTTCAGCGTATAAGAGAGCACTTGAGAGACCTGATATTGATCAAAAGTGACGCCGGTTTATTTAAGCAGCCATCATCTTCGCACAAAAACAAACAAAATCACGGTTTTAGTCCCCACTGAGACATTTATTTAAAAAAAAAAAAAAAAAACACAAGATCCAGTGAACGCGATCATTCACTAAACAAGGCATAACATGACCCCTAACCAAGGGGGTATCGGGTGGGGAAAGGAGTTACGAGTAACTAAACGACAGAGGAAAAAATGTTCTATGGAAAAGTATCTAACAATTGAAAAGTAATATCCGCACAGATACCATCTAAACTTAAATGAAGACACCTATGAAGTAAAGGTTGTGAGTAACACAGAACGTAAACTTATAAGAAAAGCAGAGTATAAAATAAAGTAAATAAAGTTAAGTGGCAGAGTCTGGCCCGCGTCTAGGGGTGAAGGTAGTCTCGTGTGCCACATTCCAGGTGCGAGTGGGAGGAATTCCTGATTGCTCCTGTGTTGCATTTCCCACCCCAAGCGCTGAGATAAGATTGGTGGCCTCCACCACATTTATAGCCTTAAACAAGTTCTCCTGGAAGCAGACAAGCGGTATGCTAATTTCGCTTCCTGGAGCTTTCTTTGTGATGGTTGCATTGATGTCCGCCAAATTAAAGTGGAGCAGTGAAGATTGTTACAGAATGTGATGATGTGAGACCCAATAAGATTTGCTTGTCTTGGATTGTTTGACAGAGCAATATAAATGTCTCTTGGGGCAGTAGCCCGTGCCTTGGAAAGCGTTGCAATGCGGTAGACACCATCTATGTTGAATTGATTTGCAGGTAATAGAGTGGCCATCAGCCATCTAATAAAGTGGGGCAATTCTTCCACCATAACCGTGTCTGCAACTCCCCTGATGTTCAGGTTCTTTGGATGACCTTTTCCATCCAGGGTATCCACCCGCAGCAAAAGGGAAGAGTAATGTGCCTGCAATTGTTGGACCAGCTCCCCAATAGGAGTCAGACTTTGCTTGAGGTCTATGATGTCCTCTTCCGAGGCTCTGACGCGAGGGTGACCACCTGCACTTCAGATTTCATCACTGCCAAATCGGCCGTGAACAACCTTTGAATGTCCAAATAGATTTTGAATGCCTTGTTCTAGAGGGGGTTCTGCTCACAGAGTCCTCCATGACTGGGATCACAGGTGTGTGGAGATGGGTGGCGAGGTCCCCATCATCTTTACCACCCTCGGATGGGAGAATGTAGGCCTCTGAATCAGCCGACTCCATGCCCCTTGTCCACAGTGTACATTGGAACAGTCCCAATATCTCAGGTGTCTTTTGCTGCAGATGTCTGTAGCCTTTGAGATCTACCTATGTCGTGAGCTTGTGATAACTGGTACAATGGGAGTTCAGAGTTAGGCTTCTTCAAGAATCAGTGGAGAGCACAATTCCTTGTGGTCTGCCCTCGTGACAGGCTGGAGTATTCTTTTGGTGCCCAGTTGCAAAACGAAAGGCATCCACTTGATCCTCTCAGCACTCTGCAGCCAAATCAAGCAATGGCAAGGCTGAATGAGGAATAAATCCCTTGAAAATTAGCACAGTCCGCAAACAAAAGCAAAGTTTTAAACAGAAAATTGTAAAATAAAAACGTTTCAGTTTTTACAGCAAAAAACTTATCAGGACAGAGCTAAAATAATACATACAAACAATTTATACTTTGTGACAGTAGACTGTACACCAATAAAGATATAAACAAGTGAACTTACCAACTCACAAACCCTCATGAAACTCAAAATCACATGACCTAAGCAGGTGTCAAGTATAAGCCAAAAATAAAATTAAAAAAATATCGATAACTATAGCTGCTGCACATATCCACAGGCTGGTTGTCATGGTACCAAATAAAAACAAAACCCATGTGGGGAATAACTTTGTAGTGAATTAAAATATTCATCTAACTTGCTTAAGAAAATAGTCATATGAAAACATATGAACAAACAACAACTGTAGACAGCTGTAGTAAAGGCCTTGCAAAGAATCACAACAGAGGAAACACATTGTTTGGTGATGTCTAGGTGTTCCAGACTTCAAGCAATCAATGCTTGCAAAGGATTCTCAACAAAGTGAATATTAAAAATTAATATTTTAAGATGGCTGAGTCATAGGCTTTCACAGGGCTTAGACCACCTAGCGCAGCCCACCCATCGCTTCCTTTATTAAGTCAATTAGTGGGCACTCTTTACAGTCAAGCAATAAGACTTGCTTTTCCCACAGAAATCGCAAATCTGCAGTGAAGTTACTACCGCATTCTGGGTGGGCATATGCAAATTTGTTTAACAAAGAATCATATTTTTGCCTCATTCCATTTTAAACATGGATTCCTTTGAGTCTGTGTTTGCTGTATGCAACAGCTTTGAAACACCTTTGCTGCCTGGCTACCCCATTTCCTCTCTTCTAATATTCTATCCCTAATTCTTGGGGACTTCAATATTCCCATTAACCCACCTTTGACCTCAGCAGCCTCTAAACTACTTTCAATTACTTCCTCCCTCAGGCTATCACAGTGGGCTAACTCTCCCACCCATGTAGCTGGCAATACCATTGACCTCATTTTCTCTTATGCATGTACAGTATATAATATCTGCAACACTCCATTTCCTCTCTCTGATCACTACCTCTTATCGTTTACTCTCAAGTAACCCATCACCCAACAACCTCAGCCTAATCCCCCTCCACTCAGGAGGAACCTTAATTCTATTGACCTCCAGCAGCTGTCAGCTGAAATTGATTCACAACTATCCATGCCTACCCTCTCCTGTCACTCACTGGCCATCTGCACATATAACACTACCCTCACCTCTGCCTTGAACTCTGCAGACCCGCTCCAAACATGCACCTCGAGGAGGACAAGCCCCCAACCGTAGCATAATAAATCAACACACTACCTGCAAAGATGCTACCGTTGTGCTGAACGCTCCTGGAGGAAGTCTCACACCTGGGAAGACTATCTCCATTATAGATTCATATTGTGTTCATACAGCGCAGCCCTTGCCCTCGCCAGTCATACTTTTCCTCTCTCATTAATTCATGCTCCTGCAATCACAGGCGTCTCTTTGACACCTTTAACTCTCTTCTTCACCCTGCTGTGGCCACCCCCCAAACTAACCTTCCAGCCGATTGCTTTGCATGCTACTTTACCGACAAGATTGAAGAGCTAAGAAAATAATTCACCCCACCTTGCCGCTCACTTTCCTCAAACACACGTAGATCATGACTTTCCTACCCTTCAGACTTTTTCCCTAGCTACTGAACAAGAGGTGGCTGAGTTTCTCCTTTCCGCTCGCCCACTCGATCCTGTCCCATCTCACCTTATCAGATCTCTCTCCCCCTGTCATGTGCCTTCCTTAACACATCTTCAACTGCTCTCTTCTGGTGTTGTCTCTGCTGACTTTAAACATGCCACTGTAGTACCTATCCTGAAAAAACATCTCTTGACCGGTCCTCCCCCTCCAACGACCCATATCCCTGCTCCCTTGTTCCTCAAAGCTTCTGGAAAGACTTGTCTTTATCCGTATGTCTCACTTCCTCACTTCCAACGCTCTCCTTGACCCTCTTCAATCTGGCTTCCGCCCTCTCCACTCTACTGAGACTGCTCTTATCAAAGTTACTAACAACCTAATCGCAGCTAAATCCAAAGGCCACTACTCCATACTTATTTTTCTTGACCTCTCTGCTGCCTTTGACACAGTTGATCATGGTCTCCTTCAAACTCTTCAATCACTCGGTTTCTCTGACACTGTGCTCTTGTGGTTTTCCTCTAATCTCTCCCAACAGTCATCCAGATTCTCCTTTTCTAATGATACCTCCTGTCCTTGGTCCCCTTTTATTTTCTCTTTATACTGCCTCTCTTGGCAAACTTATTACCTAATTTGGATTCCACTAACACCTGTTCGCTGATGACACCCAGATATATCACTCCTCCCCGGACCTCTCCCCTGCCGTCCTGCAACATGTCATTGCTTGCCATTCTTCCATCTCTGACTGGATGTCCTCCCGCTTTCTGAAACTCAATCTCTAAAACTGAACTCCTTGCCTTTCCTCCTCCTAATACCGATTCTACTCTTTCGCTTTCCTTTCAAGTTAGTGGTATCCACATAAGTCCATCCTTGCAAGTGCATGGTCTTGGCATCATAGTTGATTCTGGCCTCACCTTTGAGCTTTACATCCAGTATGTTGCCAAATCCTGTAGATTAAATCTTAAAAACATAGCCTGCATCCGCCCCTTTCTTACACAAGATGCTACCAAGGAGCTTGTCCATGCTCTACTGGTTTTCCATTCTAGTTGGTCCTCTCACACCTCACCCCTCTGTCAGTCCTTACATTGGCTTTCTGTATCCTATAGGAGTCAATTCAAAGTGCTAACCCATACTTATAAAAGCACTGAACAATTCTAGCCCCTCATATCTCTTCATAGATCCATAGGTATGCCCCTTCTCTGTCTCTCTGTTCTGCCCATGACCTTCTCCAGTCCTCTGCTCGCAACTGTACAGCCATCTCACGCTTGCAGGACTTCTCGCGGGCGGCTCCCTTCCCATGGAATAGCCTGCTTACCGCCAGACTCTCCCCTAGTCTTCAATCGTTTAAGAAGTGCATTAAAACCCATCTCTTTAGGTATGCTTATGGCCTCCCAGAATAACCTCTACTTCACATACCTGTCTCTTGCTCTCTCCGAAAGGGCAGCACTTTATTCTCTCCTCCAGCTCTGCTTCACTCCCACCTTATTTGATTGCTATTTCCTGTCGTAATGTGTTTTATACCCCACCTCCTACAGAACTAAGCTCATGTGAGCAGGGTCCTCTTCAACCTATCGTTCCTGTAAGTTTTCTTGTAATTGTCCTATTTATAGTTAAATCCCCTATCTCATAATATTGTAAAGCGCTGCAGAATCTGTTGGCGCTTTATAAATGGCAATAATAAGGTCAATAAAGACATGGTTGGATGAGTTTGGTGTGGAAGAACTTGACAGGCACGCACAGAGCTCTGACCTCATCCCCATGATCACCTTTGGGAAGAACTGGAACAGAGATTGCGAGCCAGGTCTTCTCATGCAGCATCAGTGCATAACCTCACAACTGCTGTACTGTATGAATAGGTAAGAA